TCCAACCCCACCATCAGGGCCTCAGCAACATCCACCTGCCACTCATGTGGCGCCTTCCCTCCCATTCTGTCGCGAAAGGTGTTTTCGAGCGCCTGGCGGGTCGCATGCGAGTCGTACCGCCGTGAGGCTTTTGCGGCTTGTCGCGCGGCTTGCAGGATTGCATACGAGTGGGCGTGGTCTTCTTCATGATGGGAGAGGAACTCAGGAGTTGAGATAGCCATGTAGTGTATTTAAGAGCAGCCAGGTATGATGGATTATGGGGGCATTGTGGCTAATACAGGAGGTGTAGCACAGGGTGAACATTGACAGCGGGCTGCCACATCGGGCACCAAGGGCGCACTCCGACTTTTTCGGACTGCCCCGACTGGGCGTCGGGATGTGACGCATGTCACCGATGGGGGAGTAACGGGGGTGATGCCACCAGACGTTCGAGTGTCCGGATACCTCCGATTTTTCGTATCCGCTTCACACTCCGAACGTCTGGTCACGAGACTACATCAGCTGTAATCACCACGTCCAACGACCGTCTTGTTCAATCTCACGCTTCAGACAATAACGCAGCTTCAGGACACATAGCTGCGAAGAGACCTAGACACCATGGCCGGCAGCGATACCTTCAGCAAGTACAAGGCCCTCGTCTTCGACTGTTACGGCACCTTGATCGTACGTAGCCCCAATGCAATAACTTGAAGAGCGTTCATTCACCGCCTACCATCTGGATGTCGTCTTCCTACCGTTGTGCGGTTCCACAACACCCGAATCACGGCATACGCACCATCACACACCGTCGCGACTGGGTCTGCACTGGCGCACGCATCCGCATCCCCATGGCCAACGCAACAGGACTGGGAGACGGGTATCTACAACGGCCTCAGGCCGCTCTTCGAAAAGAGCGGCAAGCCCGCCGACCGCCGCAGCATCATCCTCGCCTTCTCGTCCGTTGAGAGCGATCTCCAAGCGCGACACCCCACGATGCTCTACTCTGACCTCCTCGCCAACGTCTACGCCACGCTCGACGCGCGCCTGCACGACCAGGAGCCCGAGACGCAGGCTGCCGGGCCCGAGCACGCGACCGTCCTCTCCTCCGCGCACCGCGCGACGGGGACGACGCCTGTCGCGACGGCGTCGGTCGGCACGTCCTCGACTGCAGCGCAGGGAGGAACGACGGGCGCGGCCGAGGCGTTCGCGCGGAGCGTCGAGACGTGGCCGCCGTTCCCGGACACGGTCGCCGCGCTCGCGGCGCTGTCCAAGCGCTTCAGGCTCGTCATCCTCTCGAACATCGACCGCGCCACGATCGCGAAGACGCGCGCGCTGCTCGAGGGCCCCGGGGGGTTCGCGTTCGACGCGGTCATCACCGCCGAGGAGGTCGGGGCGTACAAGCCTGCCCCGGAGATGCTCGATGCCGCGCTGGCGAGGCTGCAGAAGGAGTTTGGGATCGAGCAGGACGAGGTGCTCATGACGGCCCAGAGCGTGTTCCATGATATCGTGCCGGCGAAGGGGAGAGGCTTGGCGACGGCGTGGATCAACAGAGAGGGGGCACACACCAGGATGGAGGGCGTGGAGGGCGACGAGGCGACGTTCGTGTTCCCGACGTTGGGTGCGATGGCGGAGGCGGTGGAGAAGGCGAGTGCATAGCGTCTCGAGGGATAACGCAAGCCTCTACTGTTGTAAACGAATAGTACACTAGTGGCTGAACAATGTGCACTATCTGGAAAATCATGAGTAAGGCACGATGCTAACGAGAAGGCCTGCTTTCTTCCAGCTGGGTTGGTACTTACTTACTTGGTGGCCTGCAGCAGCATCCTAATAGTGCACAAGAGAGCAGTACCGCATCAGTCCGGAACGCCGGGAACCCCTTCCCGCTGGGCCAACTCCCTTCCCCAGCCAGCCCTAAACTACGCATGGCCCGTGCGCCCTCCCCTCCTATATGAACCCCCCTCAGACGTTTTAACAACTCATACTTACCTTGATGGCACGCGCCCCTTCACATACCAGGGTTCGTGGGCCGTGGGGGCTTCCCATAGCACGGCGACCTTGTCCTCAGGGGGACCTCGCGGTTTGTATGGGCTTCGGCTCATGCACCGTCTCAATATTTCCCTGTCCTGCTTCGGCCCTCGGGCTGGGCAGGCCATTACTTTTTGTCATTACGCTGTTTTAACCCTAACCTTAGTATGATTCCAAACGCCAAAATCCTACTGTCGCGTGTATATACACAGTTACCCTAAAGTGCATATGATCCTATGGTGGGCGGACAGGACCTTGCGTTACAGCCAGGACTCATTGCGGATATCGAATATCACCCATCCATGTTGCACAGCGAAAGGTATGATACAAACAACATCTCCTACTATGCAGAGTACTCGAGCTTGGCTGCGGAGAAGGCTTGTTAGCGGCTTGAGTGGGACATCATGCCCAATGGACCTACTCTCATGCTTCTTAGCCTCGCCCACTTTCCGTGCAGCCTTCGTGAGATCCTCCTGGATTATGTATTCACTGCATCAAAAGCCGTCAGCATTCCAAACGCAGGCGACCCATCAACCATGAGGCTTACCGGTCATCGCGGATAGCGAACATGCCAGCCTCGGTCACGACATTGCGAAGATCAGCGCCGTTGAAGCCGTCCGACAGCTTGACGATCGCCTCGTAGTCGATCTCCCCGCTCTTGTTCACCGGCTGCGAGTGAATCTTCAAAATCTCAAGCCGCGCCTGCTCGTTCGGGAGCGGGATCTCGATCTTCCTGTCCAGACGACCCGGGCGGAGGAGCGCAGGGTCGAGCGTGTCCGGCCGGTTCGTCGCCATGATGAGCTTTGTCCGCCCCAGCGAGTCGAAGCCGTCCATCTGGTTCAGCAGCTACGTCCGTGCCCCGCACGCACCGTCAGCGTCGCCCGCGCACATCGTCATCCAAGACGACAGGAATGGGCACGTACCTCCATGAGCGTCCGCTGGATCTCGCGGTCCGCACTCGTCCCCTCCGAGAAGCGCCGCCCGCCGATGGCGTCGATCTCGTCCATGAAGATGACGCACGGCTCGTGCTCGCGCGCGTACCCGAACATCTCGCGCACGACGCGCGCCGACTCGCCGATGTACTTGTCGACGATCGCGCTCGAGACGACCTTGAGGAAGTTCGTGTTGAGCGTCGCGGCGACCGCGCGCGCGAGCAGCGTCTTGCCCGTACCCGGGGGACCGTAGAGGAGCACGCCTTTGGGGGGTTTGATGCCCACGCGAACGAAGAGCTCGGGGTTGAGGAGGGGGAGCTCGATGACCTGCGAAAGAGCATGGCCAAGAGGAACGGGATGCGCTTCGTGAGCGGAGGAATGGGAGTTGACGAGAGGAACGTACCTCGCGCAACTCGCGGACCTGCTCTCCGAGACCACCGATACCTGCGAAAGTCGCTCCTCCTGGGTCCTCTAGACTCATCTTGTACACAAGTGGGTCGACTTCCCGTGGGAGGATGCGCATGATGGTCAGGGTGGTCATGTCGAGGCTGACGCGTGTGCCCATCTTGAGCTTCGCGACCGGGAGAGTGGGACGGTAGGAGACGACGTAGCGGGGACCTGACGAGGCCTTCACGATGACTACATATCGCGTTGAACACGCTCAGCTCGTCAAGCAAAATGGTGGAAGGCAATGTACGCACATCGCTCGTCGTCCAACTGCTTCATGACCTCCCCGATGATCTGGCCTACGGATTGTACGGCCTTGATGTCGTCCTCGGTCTTCTCAAAGTCCCTTTCGAGGTCCTTCAACGAGAAACGAACTGATTACGTTCGTCAGCACGTTGCATTAATCAGCATTATGGAGCTACAATCGGCATACGATTCTTTAGGTGCTGGCTGCTGTTCTCATGTTGCCGCATTTTCTACGGTGTCCGTCAGTTCCTGTGACCGCGCTTGGACGGATCGAGAGTCGCTACGCACGTCGCGATATCCTTTCAGGGCTTCTTTCCTCCTATTATCCGTTGTGTGTGCAGACGTCGACGCTTGTGTTGAGCTCATGGTGGCGGGAGTGTTTGAATGCGTCGGAAACTGTGTCCACAAGCGACCTCGAGTAGGCGCGTCCGACGCGTAAGCTCGCACTTGCGTGACGCGTCGGATCTGACCTGCTTGCACAATACAATTATAGCCATTTTCAATGGGTGTGTGCGGCCTGGTGGTCTAGTAGTATGATTCCTTCTTAGGGCTTTTTGGCATTTGGAGGAGGTCCCGGGTTCAATTCCCGGCCAGGCCCTAGTGGTCAAGGGGTGAAAACTTTCAGTTGGGGCCCTCCTGGGCTAGGAGGCCAGAGCTCCGGTAGGCCCCGGTTCTTCGAGTCCTCCATGCGCGATCCGAGCGTCGACAGAACACCATGGCACTTGAAGCGCCAGATTATAGAGGTTGGGGAACACGGAGAGGATGAGCACATTACCGCCACATTCCCAGCGTGTTCCCACCACATTCCGCAGGTTTAGAGGATGTCATGGTATTAACTGCCTTCCCCTCACATTCCGACCATGTTCCCCACATATTACTTAGACATTCCGCACTCTGCGTAACATGGGATCAAATGGGATATACAATTTTGTATCTTATTATTCATATCCATTTTTGGTGCCCAGCTTGGCGCCTAGTATTCGTCCCGATATTGGCAGCCAGATTGAATTAGATCGAAATGAATATATATACAAATGGCGACTCTCCTACGCTACATCCGGACTTCTCTATATATCATACAGACCGGCCCAATCAACCCTGACCCAATCACATCATACCCGTAGCCGCCAGCACAGCGATGCTGGCTTACAATTGGACATCAGACACAGCTGAGATGGCACGCGCAATACATGCATATATGCACTCACCATGTCGATATTTGAGTTCTGCTTAGAAAGGATTAGCAGTACACTGTAGCGTTGAAACTGGGTACTCACAGTCTTAATCAAGGACAATCGATAAACGCGGGACAACCTACTAGATGCGGCAGCCATCAGACTTTGGGACTTCACACGCAACACTAGAGACGTACTATTGCCCTGATCAGCAGATGTATTTATGAGAGAACACCTGCATGTTAACACATCAGCTGCCATCCGAGAGTCAATGGTCAGGACGTACCAAGGGGAAGATAGGCATACGAAGGGAATGCAAGAAGTACGAAGTCAAGATGTGGACGCGATGGCA